CTTCATGGGGTGCCTCAGATTTTGGGGTGACTCAGAGCCCAGCACAGTCCCCACCCTGGGGCACCCCATGGCTCTCCTGGGAGTCTCTGTGTCCCTTCCCCACTCACCCCTAGGTCAGGTCCCCCCATTTCCTGGCTCAGCCATCCCAGGCAACACTTGATGCCCAATTGGTTCAGACAAAATTACACACCCATAGAATAAAAGCAAAAATCTTTCCCACACCATTATTTTTCCAATAAGGAACAAACTCAGCAAAAATCAAACTGGCAAGGTATAAAATTCTCTGGTTTATAGAATCCTTTTAACGCTTCCTGTCCCAACAAGTCCCTCACAATAAAAACACAAACAAATCACAAAGAAATGAGACTTTTTGGGTCCCTTAAGAAGCCCCTTGGTGCATCCCACAGTAGCATTTTCTTGTGGATAACACAGAGTGTCCCTGAGTGTCCAACAGCTCCATGGGATTGTTCCCTGCCTGCTGGGCAGCAACCCAGCCCCTAAGGAAACCTTTTCTTGGACCATATTAAGGAACTCTCCCAATTTTTCTCATTCCTACCCTGAAACTTGATTAACTTCCCATGGAGGAAGGGGAGAAGCTCTGTCCAGGCTTGGGACAGTGCACAGGAATCTGTGGAAATGCCCCTGTGTGCCTCAGGGTCTGATTCCCTGGTAAATCCACTCCAGCCTGCCCTGAATTCCCCTGCCTGGGCACTCCCTGCTCCTGCTGTGACACCCCTGTTCCCCAGCCCCTCGTGTGCAGCCCCTCCTCAATATTTCCACACTTTTCCCTGTTGTTTGGTGGCCAGAGTCCAAACCCAAATATTCATTCCATGATGTTCCAGAAGTCTGCAGGTTTTGTTCAAGAAGGAGCGTTCCAGTCAGGTTGTTAAACAGATTGTTATTGTCTTTACAGTAGTTTTGTGGTTTTCTCAGTCCCTTGGGGCAAGGGACAAAATGAACAATTGCTGCATTTCCGGACTGGTTCCCCCACAGTTGAACCTGCAGGGCAGTTTCCAAACAGCCCTGCTCTGAAAACCATCAAAGGCCCTCACAGAGCCACTGCTTGAGCTCCCTTTGGGCTTTGTGCTTCTTGCAGGGCTGAGCAAACCACAGGCAGGGCCTTTTTCCACCCACAGAATTCTCACCTTTGCAGCAGCTCTAAAGCTGCCAGAATCAAATCCAAGGGGGCAGGGGGGACCCTCAGGTGCTGGCTGCCACCTGGGGCTGAGCAGAGCAGGGCTGGGCAATGGCCATCCCTGTGCAGTGGGGCTGGGCCATGGCTGGGCCCCAGCCTTGCATTGACAGGGGTCCCCAGGATGTGCCACCCCTGGGACAGGCACCCGGCCAGGAATGTGCAGGGACATTTCCGGAACTGCCACACCCGGGACAGGAGCCCCCATGCCAGGATGTGTCACCCCCTGGGACATGATCCCCCCAGGACAGGAGCCTCTGGATGTGCCCCCCCAGGACAGAACCCCCCCTTTCCCATCTGACTCTCAGCACAAACGGCCTCTTCCTCCTTGTCCAGGAAAAGGAAAGTGAAAGTGTTGAGGGGGCACAGCCCAACACCTCCATCCCCCCCAGCCTCCCCACCCTTCCCTGCACCTCCTTCTCCCCATTTTCCCCCTCCCCTGGCTCCCCCCAACCCATTCCCTGCTCAGGTGCTCCCCGGGATTGCTGAGCCAGGAATGGGGGCAGAGGGCACCTGGCACAAAAGTGATGAAAATAAGGAAAAAAAAGCAATAAAACCACAAAAAAGTCAAGGACAGTGGAGGGCACAGAGGCCGAGCTACCCAGGACCCCCATGTGATGCCTGCACAGGAAACAAGCATCCCAGGGGGGCTTTGCTTGCTCTGGGTCACCCCAAAATCTTAGGCACCCAGGGAAGGAGCTGAGACTCCTGAGCCCATCCAGAAACTGCTCATCCCCGGCACCCCCATTCCACCTGGAATCTAAACATGGGATCCCCATTCCTTATGGCCCCTCATCCCTGGGACCCCCATCCCAGTACTGACATTCCCCAGGATCTCCATGGCCCAGCACCCCATTCCCAAGGAACACTCTCCTGCTCATTCAGTCCTCTGAAATCCCCCTTCCCCCATGACCTTGATTCTCTCAGGAACGCCATTCCCATGGACAACCCCCATTCCCCCAGCATCCCCATCTCATGACCCCAAATCCTGGAGCCCACGCTCACCTGGGGCTCCCATCCCTGAGTCCCCTCAACCCTGGACACCCCCAGACCCATGACTCCCCCTCCTCAGGAACCACATTCCCCTGGACATCCATCCTTGGCTCCCCAAACCCACCGAGCCCCCCACTCCTGCAAACCACATCTCCCACCTTGTCCCACCCACCCTCATCCCCATCCTGTCCCCTGCTTGTGGCCACCCTGCCCCCACCAAGGGCCACCTACGCATGGGGACGGACGTGACCTCGCTTCCTTCCCCTTCATCCCAAGAGCCGCCAGCCAGGGGAGTGGTGGCCACAGCAGCGAGTGACAGCCAGTGCACATGGCTGGGGACACCGGGATGGCCGGGAAGGTGGCGCTGCTCCTGTGGGGTGAGTGCCCCGGGCACGGGCCTGACACCCTGGGGATGGGGAGGGGAGGGGGTCACAGGGGGGCTGTGGGGTCCCCTGAGCTCCCCAATGCCAGCAGTGCCAGTCCATGGTACCCACAGTGGACCTTGGTGTGACTGGGGATGTAGGGTGGCTTTGGGGACAGGAATAGAGGGGCAGGAATTTGGGGATGGGGATGTGGGGACAGGAATGTGGGGACTGGCACCTTTGGGCTCATGTAACTCTGGGGATAAGGACAAGGGAACTGGGATGCAGGGACAGAAAGCAACAAGAACCATGAGGATGTGGCCATGGGGATGGGATCATGGGGATGGGATCATGAGCTGGTGGGGATGACCTGGGCCAGCATGGGCTGTGTCCGTGGTGTCCTCGTGCCCGGGGTATCCACAGTGTCCCCATTTTCTGCCTCAGCCCAGGGTGGCCTCGGTGTCCCTGTTCCCAAGGTGTCTGTGTCACAGGGATGTGGTGCATGGGTGGTTGTGACACAGACATGTCCCCCTGCCTCTCCAAATCTTTTTGAGACCACCCACACACACTTTCCCACAAGAAATGCTGTCCCAACAGGGACAGTTTTTGGGGACAGCCACCACACCCTGTACCCTGGTGCCTCCTTCCCTGCAGTGCCACCCCCACCCAGCCCTGTCCCTTCTCCCTTCCAGCCCAGACCCTCAGCCTCGCTGGTGAGTCCTCAAGGGATGTCATGGCCCCACCCCGCTGTCCCCAGCCCCTCGCTGGCCCTGGCAGGCTGGTGTCCCCTGTCACCCACAGGTGCCCAGACCACCCAGCTCCTGGTGGAGCCCCCCTGGAGGCCGGCGGTGCTGTGGGACCGGGTGACACTGACCTGCCAGGGCTCGGGGACCGCCGGTGCCACCACCTGGTACAAGGACGGGCAGCGCTGGGGGCAGCAGGGACGTGACCGCCTCAGTGTCACCAGGAGTGGCACCTACACATGTGACAGACCCGGCACCAGGCGCAGCCCCCCTGTGACAGTCTTAGATGGTGAGGGGGGATCTTTAATGATCAGGGTGGCCACTGAGAGGTCAGGGTGGGTTCCACTCCATGGGAGGCCTCACACCCCTCATGTGGCGAGAGCCTTTGCCCTGCACACAGGGACATCCCAGTGCAGCCCAGTGCACTCCAGAGCACCCAGATGTCCCTGGTGCTATGGGCACCCACCTCAGAATGGCCTCATCAGTAAAATGTGACCTTCCTGTCCCACAGACCCACTGGTGCTGCAGGTGCCAGCGCGGGCATTGCTGGAGGGGGAAACAGTGACACTGCGCTGCCGGGGCCGGCAGGAAAACCATCTCAGCAGGGTGCGATTTTACCGGGATGAGAAGGATCTCGGGGGGTCCCTCAGGGGAACCGAGCTGTCCCTGCCCCCCCTGCAGCTGCACCACAGCGGCCGCTACAGTTGTGCAGGCTTGGTGGGGTCCTGGCAGTCCCGGTCAGCACCAGTGACAGTGACAGTGCACGGTGAGCACCCCCAGGGCTGGAACTCCAATATCTTGACAACCCCAAAGCCACTTCCCAGTGGATTCAGAGCCACATTCCTCACCTCCCCTCTCCTTCCCTGAGCTCTTCTCAGTGCCAGGGCTGGAGGGTCCCCCCAAGCCTACCCAGGGGTCCCCCCTGACTCTCAGCTGCCTCAGCACTCCCAGCCCCCTGCGGCCCCGAGCCCCCCTCCTGCATGTGTTCTACCGGGACGGGCAGGTGGTGGGGGGCCCGCAGGGGTCCCCGCAGCTGCTGGTGCCCGCCGTGTGGGTCTCCCACTCAGGGAATTATGGCTGTGAGGTGCACTCCCAGGGTGGGGCCGTGTGGAAGAGCAGCGCCCGGCTCCGTGTCACGGTGCGCAGTGAGTGCGGGGATTGGCACGGGGAGCCCCCACAGCCTCCTTGGGTCCCCCACACTGCCTGGCATCGCCCAGCCCTCCCTGAGGCCTGCTCTGGGCTACCCAACCTTTCCCGGATCCCTCCCTGGCTCCCACCATCCTTTCTTGTGTCCCTCTCTCGGACCCCCAGCCCCTACATGGGTACCCCTATCCTTCCCTGGCACTGTTTCTGTGTCCTGCCATTGCTGCCCCGGGTCCCTCCCCAGGTCCCCCCATTCCTGGCTCGTGTTTCCCTCCATCTCACACTGGGTCCCCTCACCCCTCCATGGGTCCCATCACCCCTCTCTGAGTTCTCCACACATTCCCCAGATCACACCCTCCCCTCCCAGGGTCCCCGTACCTGCCCTGGTGTTGCCCACCTCCCTCTCCAGGTGTTCCCTCCCTGACCCCCCCAGCATCCCTCAGGGTTCCTTTCAAAGCACTGCCCCCCCCTCCATCTCTGCACCCGCTCTCCATCACTGGAGTTCCCCTGCCCCTCCATGATCCCCCTGGGTCCCTCACTGTCCCCTGGTGTCGCCCTCTCCTGCAGGGGTCCCGCCCTCGGGGGTGTCCCTGTCAGCACAGCCCCCCGGGGGACAGGTGGCACTGGGGGACAGCCTGGTGCTGAACTGCTCAGTGACCATGGGAACAGGTCCCCTGTCCTTCTCCTGGCACCGGGAGAGCTCAGGGGCACTACTGGGCACCCGCCCCCGCCTGGAGCTGCGCCACATTGGGGACAATGACAGCGGCCAGTACCGGTGCCGGGTCAGTGACGGGGACAGTGTGGCTGAGAGTGACCCCCTGAATGTCACCGTCCTGGGTGAGTGGGACCCTCGAGCTGGGGATGAGCCCACCCAGAGCACTCCCATCCCACCCTGCCATGTGCCAGCCCTGTCTGTGTCCCCACAGTGCCCGTAGCCAATGCCACCATCACCCCCAGTACCCTGTCACACCAGGTGCGCGCAGGTGACAACGTGACCCTGCACTGCTCAGTGCAGGTGGGCTCAGCCCCTGTCACCTTCACCTGGCTGCATGACGGCCAGAAGGTGGCCCAGGGTCCCCTCCTGCAGCTCAATGATGTTGAAGTGGGACATTCAGGCACCTACCAGTGCGTAGCCACCAACCAGCTGGGACAGGACGGGCACCGCGTGTTCTGGGCACATAGCCCAGAGCTGGCCCTGGAGGTGACACCTGGCTCACCCTGGGTCAAAGCTGGGGTCACACAGGTGGGGTCACCAGGGAGTGCAGGACCCCTGGGGTGATGGGTAACCCAGATGTGTCCCTCTCTGTTTCTTGCAGTGGCTGCAGGCTTTGGTGGGGCCCTTTCCTTCCTGGTCCTCCTCATGGCTGTCACTGTCACCTGGCACTGGTGGCATCATGTGGGTGGGTGACAATGGGAGATGGGGGTCCCAGGGAGCTGTAGAGGCCCACAGAATTGGGGAACCATAGGGAACGACCCACATACCCACAATTGTGACTTTGGCTGAGGGTCCTGTAGGGTTTGGGGAGGTGCTGGAGGGTCCTGCAGGGATGCTGGGGGGTCTTTCAGGGGCCCTGGGGGTGTTCGGGGGTCTCTGTCCCTGCTGGGCTTTGGGTTCTTGAGGGTGATTTGTTTGGGGCCATTGGGGAGGTTCATGAATTATGGGGGGCTGCAGGGATTCTTGGGAGTCCTGAGGGGAATTGAGGGTCCCGTGGAGGTACAGGATTCCTAAGGGGTTTCAGGGCCCTGGGGACTCCTCAATCACCCCGTTCCTCTTTCGTCTGCAGCTGCCAGGAAGCACCTGGAAAGGTGAGTGGGAGGCTCAAACCACACTCTCCCCTTTTTACACCAACCCCCAAGATCTCCTATTCCCCTCCCCACATCCCCTTTGTTCCCTCAGGGCCCCCCCGGATCCCCCGGCCCCCCCAGAGGAGGGGGAGGTGCTGTACACCCACGTCGTGGTCACCAAGAGGGCAGGGGGTGAGTACGGGGGGGACACACGCAGAGGGACACGTCACCCACCAGTGTCACCCCACCCAGATCCCACAGCCCGTGTCTCTCGTAGTGTCCCCCCGTGCCACCACCCTCCAGGATCCCCAGGTGACCAACGCGGAGCTGCGGGGACCCCAGGGGCGACCGCGGGAACCCGGTGACATCTACGGGAATGTGCTGTGACACTGGGGGGAACTGGGGGTCCCCACCCATGGGCACCCACTTGTGTTTGTGCTGCCACTAAAAACTGCCCCAGTCCCTCCCCGTGGGGGCACAAAGATCCCAAAGGGCTGAAAGAAGAACAATTTCCTGCAACAGCAACGAGAGAGAATAAAACCAACAGCAACAAGGTGCAGAGTCCAAATGGTCAAAAAATGAACAATTTCCTTGGAAAGTCACCAAAAAGGCACAAACCCCAGATGTTTCCCCCAGCACGTTTCCTCCACCAGAGGAACCTGGCAGGGCCTCGACCTTCCTTGCTCTGATGGCCACAGTGGCCTTCAGGAGGCTCTGGATTCTCTTCTCCCCTGACCCAAACCCCTCCTCTGCCCTTTTCCCAACACGAGGATGTCACAAAAGCCATGGGGGGGTTCTGGAGCCTCCCCCGTTTGTAGGGCAGTCGGGATCAGGCCATGGCACAGGGCGGGTGTCAGAGACAGGAAAAGTTTGATGTCTGGAGACATTTTGGAACACCTGTGTGTAGCAGGGGTGGGTCAGACCTTGCTTTTGGTGAGACAGGGCCCCATCTGTCCCTCAGTTTGTCAGCCACAGCACACTGGGGACAGTGGGATGCTCTGCCAAAGCCAGCTCCTGAGTGGCAGGGTGACCAGGAGCCCCAGCTGGGGAGAGGGCCCTTGGTGGCCGAACTGGCTTAAAGGGCAGAGCATAATGTAGCCAAGTCCCTGACCGTGTCTCCTCTTGGGTTGTCTGTCCCATCCACGCTGGAACCCAATAGTTGGCAACTTATTTGAATGAGAAATACCTACCCAGGAAATTGGGAATGTTTCTGGAATGAAGACCCATCTATAAAAGTTTTTTTAGTTTAAGAAATGATGAGGCTTCCAGGCAAAAGTGTAGGAAAAGGAGTTAAGTCCTCTATACCGAGAAATTTATAAAGCAGAACAAAACCAAGAACACAAACCCAGAACTTTCCCTCCCGCTCAGCGCTGTTGGGTTTTGTGGCAGTTATAACCGCGGCCAGCAGGGGGCGCTGCAGGGAGCACTCCCGGCCAGCAGGGGGCGCCCCGCTCCAGCTCCATCCCCTCAGGGGCCATGGCGGCCTCGGGCGGGAGGCAGGAGGGCAAATCGCTCCTTTTGCAAACTCACGGCCACCAATCGGTCCCGGCACCACCACCGGCAGCGGGCAGAAGCCGCCAAGGCAGCAGGTTGGATCCCAGTGCCCAGTGGCAGCGTAGCAGTGTCCCGGGGCCAGGCACACGCCCTGCACAAAACCCGCGACCGCTCTCCATGATCCTGAATGGAAGGAAGGCAGAGCCTGACCCCAGGCAGGTGTCGTGTCCACAGTAGCACCTCTGGTGGCTTTGTGGCACAATTCCTGCAAACCCTCATCCTTTCACTCAGGTGAGGAGGGCAGGAATGGAGCAGCTTTGTGGACACCTGGAATCCAAACAGGGTCACTCCCCACAGCCCCACCATGGCTGCAAGGCCGACCCCCTGCTCAATATTTCCACACATATACCACTTATCTGGCAGCCAAAACAGAACCCAAATATTCTTCCCGGGATGTTACAAAGGGCTGCAGGCTTGACACAGGTAGGAGGATGGACCCAGGCAGGTTGTTGAGCAGATTGGTGTGGGATTTGCAGAGTTTTTTGAGCTCTCTCAGAACCTTGCTGTAAGGGACAAAATGATCAATTGCTGCATTTCCGGACTCATTCCCTCGCAGCTTCCCCTGCAAGGGCAGTTTCCAGCCAGCCCTGCTCTGAAAACCATCAAAGGCCCTCACAGAGCCACTGCTTGGGCTCCCTTTGGGGTTTGTGCTTCTTGCAGGCCTGAGCAAACCACAGGCAGGCCTTTTTCCACCCACAGAATTCTCACCTCTGCAGCAGCTCCAAAAACCCAGAGCCCCTTGGAATCTGTCCGTGGTGACACCCAGGCTGCTGGCACCTTGTTGGGGCTGTGTTAGGTCGTGGGCCACCCCAAAATGTGAGGCATCAAAAGAAGGAGCTGCGACCACAGGTCCATCCAGCCCCTGCCCTTCCCTGGCAATCTCATTTCCCTGGAAATAAAACCATGGGAGTCCCATTCTTTAGGTCCCACTGTACCTGGGACCCCTATCCCTGTACTGACATTCCCCAGGATCTCCATGGCCCAAGACCCCATTCCCAAGGAAACCTCTCCTGTTCATTCTATCCTCTGAAATCCTCCTTCCCCCATGACCTTGATTCTCCCAGGACCCCCACTCCCATGGGAGCCCCCATTCCCCCAGCATCCTCATCCCATGACCCTGGAGCCCACATTCCCCTGGGACTCCCATCCCTGAGTCCCCCAAGCCCTGGGCAATCCCATTCCCATGGCACACCCATCCCTGGTGATTCCCCCTCTTCAGCACCCTCATTCCCACAGACCCCATCCCTGGGACCCCCATTCTCCTGGACACCCATCCCTGTCACCACAAACCCTCTGAGCCCCCCACTACTGGGAACCCCATATTGCACCTTGCCTCACCCAGTTTTGTCCCCATCCTGTCCCCACCCTGCCCACAGCCTGTCCCCTGCTTGTGGCCACCCTGCCCCCACCAAGGGCCACCTACACATGAGGGCGAGGCCTGACTTGGCTTCCTTCCCCTTTGGCCAAAGAGCCACCAGCCAGGGGACAGCCACCCCCGGCAGCGAGTGACAGCCAGTGCACATGGCTGGGGACACCGGGATGGCCATGAAGGTGGCGCTGCTCCTGTGGGGTGAGTGCCCCGGGCACGGGCCTGACACCCCGGGGATGGAGAGGGGAGGGGGCACAGGGGGGCTGCAGAGTCCCCTGAGGTCCCCAATGCCAGCAGTGCCAGTCGATGTTACCCACAGTGGACCTTGGTGGGACTGGGGATGTAGGGTGGCTTTGGAGACAGGAATAGAGGGGCAGGAATTTGGGGATGGGGATGTGGGGACAGGAATGTGAGGACTGGCACCTTTGGGCTCAGGTACCTCTGGGGATAAGGACAAGGGAACTGGGATGCAGAGACAGAAGGGAACAAGAACGGTGAGGATGTGGCCTTGGGGATGGGATCACGGGGATGGGATCACGAGCTGGTGGGGGTGACCTGGGCCAGAATGGGCTGTGTCTGTGGTGTCCTTGTGCCGGGAGAGTCCACAGTGTCCCCATGTTCTGCCTCAGCCCAGAGTGGCCTCAGTATCCCTGTGCCCAAGGTGTCTGTGCCACAGGGATGTGGTGCATGGGTGGCTGTGACACAGACATGTCCCCCAGCAGCGAAAAATCTTTTGGGGACCACCCAGACACACTTTCTCACAAGAAATGCTGTCCCCATGAGGACAATTTGGGGACAGCCCTCACGCCCTGTACCTTGTGTGCCTCTGTCCCTTCAGTGCCACCCCCACCCAGCCCTGTCCCTTCTCCCTTCCAGCCCAGACCCTCGGCCTCGCTGGTGAGTCCTCGGGGGATGCCATGGCCCCACCCCACTGTCCCCAGCCCCACACTGGCCCTGGCAGGCTGGTGTCCCCTGTCACCCACAGGTGCCCAGACTCCACAGCTCCTGGTGGAGCCCCCCTGGAGGCCGGCAGTGCTGTGGGACCGGGTGACACTGACCTGCCAGGGCTTGGGGACCACCACCTGGTACAAGGACAGTAAGCCCTGGGGGCAGAAGGGACCTGACCATTTCACTGTCATCGTGAGTGGCACCAACATGTGTGACAGACCCGACACTGGGCTCACCCCCCCCGTGAGAATCTCAGATGGTGAGGGGGCTTTGGGTGTCTCCAGGCTGGCACCTGTGGGGACCCCAAGGGCTCTGGGTGGGCTCTCCTCCATGGGTCACCTCCTGTGTGATCACAGCCTGTCCCCTGCTCTGGGGACATCCCAGAGCATCCTAGGCTGGGAGGATCCCCATGCTGGATATGGGGACCCCTGGTGCACTGGGTGTTACTCTATGGGGGGGGTTCCGGTGCCATCAGGTGTGACAGGACTCCTCTGTCCCCCAGAGTGGCTGGTGCTGCAGGTGTCAGTACAGGCACTGCTGGAGGGGGACATGGTGACACTGTGCTGCTGGGGCTGGCGGAACCTCAATGTCAAATCCATGTCCTTCTACCACAAGGGGAAGAG